TATGTTTAATATGAGGAGCAATGTGATCTTCTGTGTCCAGACCAACACGTACCTACTGAAGCATGAACAGAATTGCTGCTATCTGCTATCAAATTCTGCATTGGTCGTGAAAACTACGTGACTGAATTGTCTTTCAGAGAACAAATGCGCATATTGTCCAAAATGTTGAACTACTCCTTTAATTAACAAAGACTAACAAGCCACAAATATGACCTAATGACATTCACTGCACAATGTATTATTTTAAAAGACTTAAGAGAATGTGAGATGGTTAGGAGACACGTGGTACTTAGTTGGCAGGAGAGCAGGGCAGGTGCTGCTTCTTGACCGCAGACACCTCCTTTAGGTTTCCAGCTTCACAATGTCGCAATTGACACGGACCTAAAAATCTGCTGCAAGCGGCCTCCTTATGAGAGATTTGCATGGCTTCAGTAACAGCCCTAAAATTAGAAGACGGTGCCCTGATTTATGTGGAAAAGTTAAGGGGGCGGGGGCGCATTCCACGACTGCTGTAGGCAGGAAGTTTTGGAATCTCCATGGAAATTAAGGCAAAACACAGAGCGGCACAGTTATTTTTCCAAATATTTCACACAGGCTTTTTAGTACAAAATGTGCTTAAGGGGCTGTAAAAGGAGACACATGATTTGTTATCAAATGTCCCCTTTGTCTCTGGCAGACACATCGATTGTATCTCAACGGCACGTTACTTTAAGACTGTATATAAAGCATGAAAAATGTGGGCAAAATACAAAGATTGCACATTATTGCACTCCAGAGCATGTAAAACAAACTTCACTGACATCTGTTCTTGATCCACGATGACGGATGCTGTGGTCAAGTGAGAACCATTCACAGTTGCCGGGAGTCCAAGTGGTGAAATCATGGTGATAAATGTAACAGCCCCGACAACACTCACAGTATTTCATGCATTAGTCCAGATGTGTGTGGAATTCACACACGTACATTGAATTTTTGTTCTTCCTGGCTGGATGACGGTGAGTTTAGGAGTCTCCCAGGAATGGCTCGCCCTCTGTGAAGCTGTTTAAACTTGGCACTAACGGGAGTCATCCTAACCTTTCCCCTATCAGAGCCCCCTCACGTCACTCACTGTCAGGCTGGGGGGCTCGTGTCTTAAACATGTACACTGACATAAGAGGCTTGGATGAAGTATCTGACATGCGATCTGTGTGAGCACACATAGGACCAAAATAATGGGAAATCACAGACCCTGTGGTGCCACATGTGTCCCCAGCTGAAAACGGTCTTCGACAGATGGAGATTTATTATTGCAGCTTTTTTGAGCTGAGAAAAGTGGCACTGGGCTACAACAAGTAAAGGCAGCGGGAAGAAAATGTGTGGCATCTGTGGAATGACATTCCAAGCTGACTGTGGGGAGCGAGGCAGGCAAAAATATTTACATTAAAAGTCAAAGTTTACAGAGGAATTTCTGTGTATAAAGACACCTTGGAAATGTACTTGAAAGAAAAATAAATAAACAACTTTAAAGGAAATACAGCTACAGAAACATGGCATTTGATTTGATTTAATTTGAACTTCAGATGTAGTTTTCTTTCAGTTTAAATTTGTATTTGCATTCTTGGCTCATAGTCTAGAATCTCTGCTATCAGTCAGACAGGTCTAGTACTCATTCTCCAGGATAGAAACTTAATTTCCTGAATTTTTCTGTATCAATTTGTGGCTTCTCTGCATTGATTTATCATAAAAATGTCTTTATTTATGTAACAGAAAATAGAAAATTCAGGCAGCAGGTGACTGTTCAGATTGTAATGGAATATATCTCTGCGTCTAATGACATTTATCACAGTATATTCAATGGTTGTATAAGCTCTTATTTCATATTTTAGGAGTAAAAAAAAAAAAGACCCAGCATGTGTCAAGGCATTGTTGCATCTGTTAGTTATGTTATAGGGGAGATGAACGCATGTGTTTGAAATATGGAGAAAATCTACTAAAATCTGTGCCTGGGAGCTGAACATGCTGTATTGTGAATCTGAGCTGGTTTGGAATTTTGCATCATGTGAGACGAGATCTTTGGGTGATTACAAAACAGACCAAAATGATCCAGAATGTCTTCATTTTCTTAGGATTCAATGTACAGAGCACAAAGTACAGCTTGCATCATGTGATCGTATCGTGAAAGATTTTTTTTTGCCCGATAGCTAATGGAAAACAGAATATAAGGGCCATACTGTGTCAGTGGAGTCCCTATGGGCTGAGGGTAAATGTCATGAAGACATTGCGATCATGAGAACCACACGAAGAGTTACTCAGGATGTTCAGCTCCCTTTGAAGTAAAATTATAGATGGAATTTATTACACTCTCCTCAAACGTTGTCACGAATGGTGCTGAACTTCTAATGTATGTTCTCCACTGCCAATAATTTTGAAAGAAATTTAATAGGCTAACTCATAAACTCCAACTTCATACAGCCATGTTGCTTTCAGTTATCATGCAAAGAATGTTAATGTAGAGTATCTTTCGAGGTTAAATTTAATTTATAGTTAAACACTTCTTGAGCCTGTGTTGCCTATTTATACCTTCCACAGACACAAAGCATTATTATCATTGACTCAGACGTGTTTCTGATCATCTGATGAATGTAAATCCAATATTTGCTTTTATAGCTGTGGTTATTGAACATTGTGCAACATTAACATACATTATTTAAAGGCCACAAAGCCTGCCACGACTGGAATGTCCTTTAACACACATATTATAAGAGATGGTTTACATCATCAGCTGTAAATAATATAAAAGACTGTGCCAGATCAGGACTGAATATATCATTTGGAACTGAAAGGCTGCAGATCTGACCTGGCGCCCAAATACACAACGGCCCAATAAAAACAAACAGAATGTGAATCTGTATCAGGTGTGGCTCACAACTCAAAGGTGGTTTTTATAGTGATGCAGCTTAAAAATTCTTGCTGTCAGGAAACTGATTTATCAGTACCATTCACACGTGCAGTGAACACCTCCAAAGATATGATTTCCTTGAAGACTCCATGGAGTCTTGGATAGACATCATGGATATCTTACTCTTTTCACTGCAGATGGTGAGAGTGAGGAGGCCTCTGAGGAGTGGAAAACATCTTCTTAGCAACAGTTCCACTGGCTTTCGATATGCCTAGCGTAGATAACTCATTTTAAAAGGTAATAGGCTGTAAGAACTTGGATAGTGCAGGAGCTACTTCTTTCCAGAAATATTCCCGTAGTGGGGAATCCCACATCATACGAGACCTGCACCGCCTGCTGTTAGCTAACATTTGGTGCCGGAAAGCTAATGCAACTTGGGTTTTTTTCACCACAAACAGCTGCTTTTTACAGCTGGAAATGAGGTTGATAAGAGAAGTGGTTGCTGCCGGACAGAATGTGAAACCAAAATAAAAAGCAAAGTATTCTGAAGACACGCTCTGCTGTTTGTTAAGTATAATCCAAACAGTCACGTCTTTCGCTAAACTACTGCTGAAGACACAGTCAGTTTCTGGAGCAACAGTTTGGAAGATACTGGTCATGCAGATATAAACCAGTGAAGTGGGTTTTACTTTGAAAAGGGTTTATGGAGCTTCTCTGGAAATGTTGACACATTTTCTCCAAATAAAAATGGGCTACCATCGGAATTTACCGCGTCCACCATGAATGAAAGATGAGCACAACCTCCATTCTCAGTGAAGGACAGAAATACAGAATTTCAAACAACCTCATAAGTCAGCAGTAATATTAATAGATTACAGATGGACTATGAATTTTAAAAATTACAAATAACACATTGTACCTTTGAAAAATGATTGTTAGCACATGTTCTCTTGCTACAGCTTTGATAAGTACCTTGTAACGGCTAACATGAGCAAACTTTGGCCAACTGTATAGCTAACATTTCTGAGTTAAATCATTTATTTTGTGACTCTTCATGACTTTTTTTTCCTGTTACACCATGTTATCCTGTAGTTTATCCCAAACATAGCCTTGCTTTAAACATAAAAAGCATCACAAGTTAACTTTGACGGAAACTATGTCAATTACAATGAATGATATATTGGAGTTAACAGGGTCAATGAGTAGTGTGCCGTCGTAGTAATGAGTAGTATTGACGTGGACTATAAGCTTTGAAATAATGGGCTCCTGAGAACAGATGTGGAAAAGGCCTCCCACTCATTCCACAGAGAAACAAGACTGTCAGCTGAAAGTCACACAGACGTGATTTGTGGATGTTTTGTGTCTCTGTAAATGTTGTAGATGTTTTGCATCAACTTTTATGGGTAGTTTTGTTTTGTTTTATGTCGTTGGGTTATTTTGCATCTCATTTTGGTCCTTTGGCTTCAGTCTTTGGCCATTCTATGTGTCTTAGTTGTCACTTTCCAACCTAATGGTTGTTTTTTTTATTCCATTCTGTTCCTTATTTTTGATTGATTTGTATTTCTTTGTGTTTGTCTTATTTTATTTTGGTCATTTTGTGTCATGTTATGTCATTCTGCCCTGTAGCTATTTGGCGTGTCTTTGAAGCCACTTTATGTCATAATTGGGTTACATCATGTATTTTTCTGGAATATATTTGGAGAGTTCATTTGCAAAAACAGATAACTCAATTGTTGTAGATTTTCAGAAAACTTATTTTGTTGTCGTTTGCTTGAGATAATATCAATCAAACTGAAGTTGAGTGGATTTGACTCAGTAGAAATGACATGACAAAAATAGGGATTACTTAAGTTTGATTGATTTTGTCACAGGTAAACGATGGAAAAGTGGGTTTTCTGAAGGTTTGTGAAGATGGAGCTATCTGTTCTTGTAAATGAACTCTTCATATAATATTTCTGGGATACGACCAGGGGCCCTGGGCTTGTACCTGGTAGGCTGTAGTAATCTGTCAATGGATACTGAATGAATGGAGGATGTCTTTTTTTGTAATCCATTTCCAATGCGTAGCAATACAGTTTTACTTCAATGAAAGAGTTTGGCAAATGAAAACAGAAAGCCTCTCATCAGACATATATTAAGAATTTATTCTATTATTGTGAAATGTTAAGGCATACATACAAATGTTTCCTTATAAAAGTTCACAGCAACATCAAATTGGGTCAACCAGCTGAAGCAAGGTGCCTTAACAGGACCTTTTGTATTTGTCATCAGTTATAACTTAAAAGTAGAGTATATCTTTGGCACCAAGAAAACAATACAATTACACATATATAAATGAAAAAAATACAAAATATATTAACTTCTCTCACTTCAAATTGCCATTCTTGTAAACACATTCCAAAATAAATGAAGGGCAGTAACGCCAATGAACACACTGCATTCACCAGCAAATGCACTGTGACAGGGAAATATGATGAACAAGCTTGAGGGGGAATACCAGTTAAATGTGGTTTCACACATTGTTTATACACTTTAGACAATTATCCTGTTCATAATGTTGTCAACAAGGAAACCCAATAAATCCGACATTTGAAAACTGGATGGGAGCTTCTTCAGAAATCCCCTGATGGTGAATTTTTGCGGCCTTTCCCTCTAAAGAGCAGAACAAATCTGAACTGTGGCACATTCCAGTTAAATACAAAGCACTTTTTTTGAAAACAGGAGTATACATTCAGCAGTGTTCAGTGATCCTACATTATGCAGGGAGAAATAAATAGAAAATTCCATGTTAAGTGTATAGCCTGCTCGGAAATGTGAGATACTTGAGCGATGGAGAAAACACAGCTGAATATAACACAGTGATGAGGACAACAAGTAGCAAATGCAGGCCAATTATAGTTGACCATTTCTGCGCTCATGGTAGAACCAGCTACCACGGCTCAGAAGAAATAACCAGCCCCAGAAAAGGAATCATGTGGAGAATGCCTGCCATTTTAACAAGGGCGAGGGGTCAGACTTTAGATAGCCTTTTTCTTTAACGGGAGCATTCCCTCAGCAAGGAATGTGAGAAGATTAGCTCCGGTGTGTCATCGGAGGGGAGCGAAATGTTGCGCAGTCGCCATGTGAGGCCCCGAACATTAACCCGGGATCTGGAAAATTAGACCCCGGTGAAACGCTGTCAATCCTCGCAGGCTTTTTTAAGAGGCGTTCTGCGGGCTCCACATTCAAAGGAAGTTTCCAAATCCTTTGCTGAGCTGTGAGCAGGGCCCCCAAATATATTTTAAAAGAGAGAAGCAACTGTTAATTTAGGTTCGAGGCATCCTGTTAAACAGAATAATCCCCAAACATGGTATGAAAACATGGAGGACGTTTATTTTGAGTAATTTATAAATAGTTTTAGAGGGCATGGTCATAGGGATGCTACTGGAAATTTAGGATGAACCAAACAAACACAGTCACGTAATCCAGAGAAGTGAGTCATTTGTATATAATTTAAAAAGTGGAGCACACCAAGATGAGTGATCCTCACCTCCCAAACAGACATCACAATATGAGCAGCATTTACAAATATAAATACAATACAGAACTACAAAAATAACATGCACAACATATGCACAATCAGCAGCCCAGTTCCTATCATGATGCAGAATACTGTCCAGGTACCTTAGAGAATTCCCACTGTCTGTTTGTGAACTGTGCAGAAACAGCAGAAGGAAAGCTCAGCTCTCCTTAACAAACTGTGCCACACTCTGGACTCAGACTTGGAGGAAGGCCTTTAACACCTCGGCCAACAGCTTCTGTCATCCGTCAGTCTATGAGCTGCATTCAAATGAGGATTTCGACCACCTCTGTGTCCGAGCTGTTGATGCTCTTGAGCGTCTTAAGCTGCGCCCTTGACTCCTCCGAGGTGTCTACAGTCAAGATAAAATTAGAGAAAAACAAGGTTGGTATGTTGAAGCAAATACAATCGCAACTGTTTTCAAAACCTGAGTATGACTTTGTTGAAATTTAACCAACAAAGTTTTAACTCATTAGTCTGTCCTAGCTCTGTTTAGACTTCAACCCTCTGAACCCCAAAATCCAAAAGTGGGTATGCAAGGCCTGTTATCTTTTTTTTTTTTTTCTTAGAGAGGCAGACACTGTAAAAACATAAAAAATAATCAGATTTCCAACTTTATAACAGTCCCTCAAAGAATCACATGCCTTAACTTGTGATATTTCATCAAAATCCCATCTTGGCAATCTTGTTTCATTCAAAAAAATGTGCTAAAAATTAACCACTTGCAGCAAATTCTGTAAAAAACAGAAAAGTCTGTGCTTCTTGGCAAACCACGAAGGCAACAATGACTCAGCTATGACCAACAGTGACATGACAAAAGTTCAGGGACTTTTTGGCTGAACTGCAGACTTTATTTTCACAGAGCAAAGAGGAGATGGCGAGAGAGAGGAAAAAAAAAATACTTGATCAATAAAATAGCTGTGACACGGCTCAAAAATGGCATGCAGAGGAGCAAACTGTCAGCAGGTTGTTGGAAGATACAGTCAGCACAGTGAAATATCTTTCTAGAGTTAATGTGGTTGCAAAAATGTAAATAGTGAAATATCTATAGTATGAAGAGCAACAATTTTTCCAGTGTGTGGAAAAATGTTACGCAAGTTGATTCTAGGCTTTTAAAATAAATAATCAAATCTTTTTTGATGATTTATGGCATAATAACAGATGACATATCTACCTTCTCTCTACTTCTAGCCATGATTCTGCTGTTTTCATTGAGGAGCAGGACTTTATATTGCAGTGAAAGATGAACCCACAGTAAGTAAAAATGTTGTTTGGGGGTCAGAGAGTTAAATAGAGTCTGAACATAAGCAGCAGTCAGTTGTGTTGTGGTGATTGGGTGCCAAATGCTTCACAAAACAATAAACCCACCAGTGGAAGCTGCTGAGGTCAGCTCAGACGTCTTTTCTATGTCAGCCTCTGCTTCGGGCTCCTGCGGGACCTCGTCACTCTGAGTGCTGGAGTCTCTGCTCGGCCTCTTGGCTGAGACGAAGGGCCGAGGCTGCAGCGCAGCAGCACCTGTCTGGTCATCTGAGAGGCTCTTTGCTACAGACGCAGACAAAGAGAGGAGGCTGCTTAATTACCCACTTACATCCATATTTACACGCTCCTGAACATCTGCCCTGTCGAGTTCTTCCCATGACTATTCTGGATCGGGCTATTCTGGAGTGAGAGATGATATGCATTCCAGTTTAAAAACATGTTGTCTATTTGAGTGAGGTCGTCTCCTACTCCCTATTTTATTTAGGATGCATACATTCTGTCTGGCGACACTGACCAGTCTGCCAGTTGTCGCTTCATAGCATGTGATTCAAGATTCCTCGGCCTGGCATGAGGGGGAAAAAAAAAACTCACCTTTACTGTCGGTGCTGCTGGTCACGGTGTTGATGGAGGGGACGGATCGGGCTGGACGAAGGCTCTGCTTCTCCAGTTTGCCCTGCTCCCATCTAGAGCGCTGCTGAAGGACTTTGATCACAGCGTCCTTCTCCAGGAGCTGAGCGTGAAGCGCCCGAATCCTAAATACAGAAGACACATTATGAATTCACAGAACTTCCAACCGACAGACATTGAAACAGTAACAAGGACACAGAAAGACAAGCACCTGTTCTCCATCTCCTGGTGTCTATGATTGGACAAAGGCAGATCTTCATTGAAACTGCTGTTGGGTGAATGTCTTGGTGAATGATTGATGATGGTTGTATCCCTGAAAGTAAAACAGGCGGTTGTTAAAATCCTTGAACTTCACTGCATTTGTATCCATCTGATGCTTTTATCTGTGCTTCCATCATACCTCTGTGCTGCAGCAGTGGCGGCTGCATCCATTGCAAACTGCCTCATGGTGCTCTCCTCCAGGTACTTCTGCTCCCACCTGGTGATGTCGGCCTCCAGGGCCAGAATACGCTCCTCTTTCTCCCTCAGCTGCGTGGACGAGCTCAGTTCTGAGGCTGTGCTGTCAGATGTCTGGTTCTAGGAGAATATGAGACACAATAGAGTGATTAAAAACCAAGGAAACAAACAAATGATTTTACTCTGTTCTATAGACTCAATGATGTGGGTTAAACCTGTGTCTGTCTGAATGGATCAACTTGTATTTATGACTCTCCTCTGGACTAGGCTGGACTAATAGAGGTTAGTTTTTGCAAGAATAGGATCTTTGATGAGGGTTTTCATTCAGGAATCTGTGTTGTGAGTCATAAGAGGTTGACAAATAAACTAAACTGTACTGCTGAATTACAGCACCAGGTCTGCTCGGGGTTCTTCATTTACAGATGATGTCACACAGTATTATTGGTAAGACTGTAGACTAACATTTAAATTACCAAATTTTGATGGTGTGATTGTGTAGTGTAGTAGTTTGTGTAGTGAAATATAAATCAAATAAAATGTAAATATCAAACTTCACATGTAATTTCATATCTGTTTATGCAGAGTGTAAATTTACAACTTATAGATATATCTGTCATATTTAATGCTTAATGTAGACAGTTTTTTTTTTTTAAATTTCAATAGAAACAGTATAGAAACAGAATCTTTCTTATTTACATGTTGTTAGTGCTCTGACATAAATGACTCGCTTGATTTATCATGTTTCCACTGGGTTGTCACCTCTGACAGATGTTTGTTCTGATACTTTCATACTTTTATGTTGTAATTTTAAGATAATTCATGTTCCTGTATTTCTGACATGGTATTGGACGTGTGGCACTTGGATATCTCCCACTCTTGGATCCATCATCCAAGAGATTTAAAATCCTGTTCAAACAATTATTCAAAGACAATTGCATGCCTGGATTAATTTGAATACATCTGTTTGCCTCATTTTTTTGTCCACTTTCATTCTGACACAGTTAGTTGTTAGTCTGTTTGCACAATAAGAGGCTGTGAGTTAAGCACATTCCCTCTTTGTATTCTGAATGTTTTAAATTATGCATTTACGTCATCAGTAAATGCAGGGCCCCAGGCAGATCTGGGGTACCTTTACCAGCTGTGTTCATTCCTTAAGATTATCTTTTATTTTTGTCAGCTTGCAACTCCAGACAACTTCCAGCAGTACCATACAAATGGGTCCACTAGGTTTTAATGGATTTCACTGGATCAACAACATACGTGGAAACTGGTATTGGATTTGTTCGTGAGGATCAGATAACAAGGTTGATATCATTCCTCAGCCAGCTGCCAACTCATTTAGCATAAAGAGTTTTACCTTCAGCCAGAACCAAACTATCTGTTCCCCCCCGTCTTTACGCTAAGCTAAACTAACATCTGTTAAATGTAAGTTCACGTGTAGGATAGATTCATGAGTCCTGTCAATCTTTTCACGTCACTTTCTGCAAGAACACAAACATGCACATTCGCTAAGCCATCCCTTTCAGGCGCAGTTACAAAAAGAAACTCTAAATGATTTCTTCTCCTCACCTGTTGCGCTCTGAGGCTTTTCAGTTCCTGCTCCAGCCGAGTACGCAGTCGCAGCTCCAGCGCTTCCCTCTTCTCGCAGGCTGCCTGCAGCTGAGCCAGCGCGCTCTGCAGCCGCTCCACCTTCTTTACATAGGCCCTCTTCCTCTGCAGCTCTTCCTCCAGCTGCCGGTTGCGGGTTTGAGCCGAGGCCAGAGCCTGTTCCAGCAGCTCGCGTCTCCGCTGGCCCTCCTCGCCGGACACTCGCAGATGTTGAATCTGCCTCTCCAGACGTTCACGCTCCCGCTGCTGCTCCTCATCTGAGACACAGAAAGGAATAAAGAAACTAGGTAAGAGAGACATACGAGGCTGAGAAGGTGTTATTTTCTTTTCAGAATAATAGCCTTCTTGGCGAGGTCAAAGAAATGTTCAACAGTGGCCACTGCTGGGGTCAGTCAAGTGACTACACAAGCAATCAGCCATGGAGCTGCACTTTGAATGGAATGTGACCCAACAAGAGACATTTATACACGCAGCTATCAAGGCATGTGGTTCAACAACAGACCATCTGACACCTCGTCTTCTACACTGAAAATAAATCAGAGCTACAACCAGTTTGATTTACCTCTAAACTCACAATCCGCATGAAAATGAAATATTTCTCATTTAGCAAATAATGGCTGGTCCATGTTTTAAAGAGCACTTTTAGAAAGCTGGTGTGCCACTTCAGAAAGGGGGCTGATTACACAACACGAGTGCATGCCTGCTGAGGGAATGCAGACTTCCTCTTATCCACTTATGCACACAAGCATAGCTTTGTACTGGCAAAAGCTCTGGAATGCTTCTAAGGACGTGAAGTAAACAAACAGCTCAAAATATATTTCAAGTGGTTCCTGCAAGAAAAAATATATAAACTACATCCCACTATTGTATTTTCACTTGTGGCCTTGCCAAGATAAGTGTTTCAGAAAGACAGTATGTCGAATCTGCAGGCTCAAGGCAATCACATGCCCGTATTAGCTACTCAGACACTGCAACTGTCATTCCAGCTGATCCTTACTGTCAGATGACATGAAAATCGATTTTCTCTGTAGCTCATCCCTGCACAGAACTGCAAAGGAGGAAAGAAATATTCTCAACTGGCCGATCGCCGTGAAGCCAACGGGGTAAAGAAATGCCCAAACAAGGAGAGGGAGCTTGCCAGAGGTCATGCTGAGTTAGGCCGGGACGCCCTGGAGTCCCAGACTTATTAGTTCCCCTCGAGGAGGGAAGTCAGCAGTGATGCAAAACTGAGCAGAGGATGAGGGGGTGGAGCAGGGGGGAGCATTCCTAATGGTGGAACAGCCTGAAATACCTAAAAAAAAATTCCTGGAATCCAGGCCACATTTACTGCAGCTATGAAATATGGCTGGCGTCGAGGTGCCGAGAGTGACTCTTAACATTAGAGATCAAGCCATTTGTGTCCCGACATGCAGCTTGTGTAACGCACCACATCTCTGAAGGAGGAAACCAATCCCTGCTCAGCTATGTTCCTGCTATTGTTAACACGGGGAAGTGTGATTTGACGAATCAGATCAGCTTTCTTCTGTCATGAGCCGCAAACCCAGAGGAGTTTCTGGAACTGATGCAGATACTTACTTTGTTCAAGAAGTTTCGCAAAGACGTGCTCCTTCTGGTTTGTACACTCAGCCTCCTTGGCTGCTCGGTGTTTGTTCGCTGTGTCAAGTTGATCTACACAGAAGACAACACAACGGTTACACACACTTGGAGGTTTTATTTGAGTACCTGACGGGACACAATAAGCATCAAATTGAGCATAAACACTTTCTCACATTCTGGTGAATTTATGGTCATTTTTTGCATCAAATTGTAGTATAAATGTCTTTACTTATGCAAATGAAAATCCACAATTCGTCAACCAGGTGACAATTCAAAGTAGAATGGTGTATAGTATATAATGATCTAATTCTATTTTTCTATATTTGACTCAGTGGCTATATGACCTCAGAATTTACATTTTGAGAGTAAAAAAAATCCCAGAGCTGAAGAAAAGAAGACCTGTGCCTGTCTTGGGCAGTTTTGCATCTATGAGTACTGTTAAAGCAGTTTTTCTCAATAAAAATCTTCTGCTTCTGTCATGTTTTTATTCGGGAGGACAAATGCATTTGCTCTAAATTCTGAACAGGTGCACACACTTGCAAAGTTACATTAAAAAGCAGGCAGTTCTGCTTCAACAGGCAAACTGACACATACCTCTCAGGTCTCTGTTGAAGTCATGCATCCTCTTAATCTCAGCCTCCAGCTTATTTCTCATTGTTTTCTCCAGAGTTTCCCGCTTGGCAGAGCCTTTCATCAGGGTCTCATAAGCCTCAGATATCCTCTGAATCTCTAACTCCAGCTGTGAAGAAAATGTGAGAAGATCAGTCTCTGGCAGAAGCATCTCCATTCATTGTCTGGTCTGTGGTTTATGTTACAATCAATGAGGCTAATTAGTCACCACCTAGAGGCAAATAACTTCTGAACACTATGTGTAACTGAATGAGTGAATCGACATTCCTGAGTGAACACTTGTGGGTCCCAGGTGTCAAAGCATTCATCTCTTTTTCTTTTTTTTTTTTCTTTAAATCAGCAGTACGCCAGCATGTTTTGGAAGGCAAAGGGGATGGGAAATGGTGAGAAAACTCTTCTTTCGTGAAGCGAACCAATCACAGCAATCTCGCCACAGTGCACATGAGAAATTAATTGCCAGACAGATTATCACCCTGACATGTACTGGCAGGAAACTGTTGTTTTCCACACCCTCTATGAGCCAACAGCTCCATTCACTGCGCTGCATCCACCTCTCGCTCTTCTCACCTTCTGCAGCCTGGCGGCCTTCTCGGTGTAAACCTCCAGCTCCCTCCTGAGCCGCTCGTTCTCCCGCATCAACACATCGTTATGAGCAGAGTTATTGCCAGAGGCTGCGATGATGCTGCTGTGAGCCACCTGGGTCTGAGCAGACACATACCTACTGAGGGGAGACATGAGTGATTCATTACAACGCTGCTGAAAACCACAGGAAACACTTAAAGAAAGCCCTGTCAGGAGCTGTTCGCTTGGTCACATTTTATTATTTGTTATTCAGAGTAAATCGTTGTTGTGGGGGTTACCTGTGATGCTGGGAGTAGAAGGGGGGAGGAGGGTCTCGGTGGTACTGTACGTGCTCCTGTGAGTGACTCAGCATGTATCCGGGAATCCTGGCGCAGAGAGGATAGTCTGGAGGGGGTCCACGCTGGTCAGGCCACTGTTGGGCCCCATGTCTGTCAGGAGCCACAGCGTTTGTAACATTACTGTTATTGTACAGCTGTGGATAGCTGTGTGAGGAGCTCATGGCCAGACCGTCTCTGGGTGCTTTTCTCTCCAGAGAGAGCTGCATGAGCCTCTCACTCAGAGAGCGAGCATGCTCTCTCTTCAGATCCCACTGACCCTCACCTCGACCTCCCATTATGTCCATGCCGGGCCCGTCCTGCTCCGCCTGCTCCTGCTGGGAGATCAGGTGGGCTTTGGCCTCCTCATAAGTGGGCAGCTCCTCCCCGTGTAGCTGGTACAGGTGGCACACGGAGCTCTCAGAGTGCAGGCAGTCCCCCTGGTGCTCCTGGCCTTGAGGCTCCTGCCGCGTTGACATCTGGATGTACTGGGTCTCCTCCTGAGTCAGGCTCTCCAGAGAGGAGCGGGGGCTGCCGGTGCCGCCGCCGCTGCCTCCGCGCAGGGCCTGCTGCTGGATCGCCAGGAGAGTGCGAGTGTCTGTCAGGTTTCCGTAGCGGAGCTGCTCTTGGATGAGACGGTGCAGGACCGTTCCAGAGGAGTCCTCAGCGGTTCTCATCTCAGTCAGACAGAAATAAGTTAAAAACAAAAACAAGTCTCGATGTGGTGATATGGGAACTTCACAAATCACAGATCTGTGGGAAAACAGAAATCTTGATTAGACGCGACGCAGCACAACATTTTTGGTACATTTTATCTGATCAACTCAGATTTTTTTGGTTGCACTTCATCATGATCCTGTATTGCACAATGTCTTGCTGCTGGAAATACCCCGATAGGTATGTCACTAGAGCCCTAGCTATTATTGTGGACTTTATTTTATGCTTTTATCATTGCCTTCTCCAGTCAGAGAAGTGTAATACTCAACATTTGCACACACTCACCCCAAAATTCATATGAATAAAGATGACATATTATCCAAAAAATGTTGCAAACATACTAAAATCATTATCTCAAAGCTCTCTGTGGATTGTTAGTAAATTAATCTAATGATTAACCTAATGATTAATCTAACACTCAACACGTGCACACACTCTGCGACAAACTGATTTATTTCCCCAATTTGAAATGAATCACTACAGGCGTCGATTTATGGGGGGATGCAGGGCACAGGTCCCCCTCAATGTTTATGTTTTTGTCTCTCCTAAAAATGTCAGACTTTTATTATCTATCTAGAACGTCACACATGGATACTTGCAGAGAAGGCACACATTGATGCATAAAATTCACCATATCACAGGAATTTAAGGGACTGAAAAAAAATTGACAAGGACGACCCCCAGAACCCACAGTGTTCAACAAAATCTACACTCATGGGAATCATAGTAACATATTACGCCAAAATATGTTGGAAAAGTGGTCTATAAAATGTCCATCAATGCTTCCCAAAGCTCGAAATAATTGTTTTGTCCACAAACCAAAGATATCCAGCTTGAAGTCATAGCGTAGGAAAGGAAAAAGCAAATATTCACATTTGAGACAGTTTTTCTTTTAAAGAAATGCTCAAATTGATTAATGGATTATCAAGATAGTTGGTGATTGATTTAGTATTTGACAATTAATTGATTCATCTACTCAGTAACTGCACAGACTCCAGCACAACAAACATTAATTCTTCAAATTTGACAATAATCACAATGACATATTACCAGAAAATGTTAAAAACATACAAAAATAATCATCTTAAAGCTCCCTGTGGCTTTTTAGTGAATGAATCTGATCAAATGCAAATGATGGGTACTTTACAATCTATGATAAACTGTGATTTTAATCAATTCATCTGTTGAAATTAGAGCCCAGTAAAGTAGAACCAACGTTTTTCCACACAAAAAAACTATCTGAATAAATATGATTCTAGAGAGGTTAGCCTTAAATAAAGATGGCAAACTCCCACATAGACAGGCTACACAATGAAAGTTAGGACTGCGCCATGCGTTAAGTCAGTGGGACTTGAAGTCATGCACACGGAAAGCAGCCAAAAGCGACAATAATATATAAAACTCACCGGATTATAGTGTCATCACACAGCGAACAGTGTCGTAGTATCTCGGTTCAGTGCTCGGAGTTTATTGTAAATCCGTCCACAGGCTTCCAGAGCTCCTTTCCTCCATGTGTGTGCGCACCGGCGGCAGCAGCAGACTGAGCCGAGCGGAGCTGCGAGGCGCACTAATAAATAACTGAGAGCCGATTGTTCGCTGCGGCTGGAATGACTGGAATGTAAAAGCTCCGAGTCCCTGTGGGATCAAAAGCGGAGCAGAGGGGAGGAGGAGGATGAGGAGGAGAGGGGGAGGAGCAGGGGCAGAGCGCCGGGGGGAGGCGGGGAGGAGCGCAAACTGGATTGTGAGCAGCAGCAGCACCTCAGCTGGCCGCTTGTGTCATGTATAAGAGCTCCTTGTTTTTGTTGAGCTGCAGTTTTAAGAATTTTAGTCCCTGCAGCTCCTACAGTTGAAGAAGATTTAAGTCCTTACAGTCTTATGTCAGAGGCAGCACAGGGGGATGTTATTGTGAGACTGCAGGAGATTTTAAAAAAAGATCATAAAGTGCAGTAAAACATTACAACCTCACAGTCATAAAGTCTCTGGAATGTAATGACAGGAAATATGACATGTAAGGATGTCTGTGTTTAAAGGAAATACAAGAAAGTGACACAGAAAAGAGAATAAATTCATATTTAGGCCATTTGGCAAAAAACATTGACATTTGGCAAAATAAACAATACATGCACAATGTCAGCTTATCGCAACAAAATGTGGAAAGTAGTTTAAATGTATTCTTGTTTTGATCCTTGTTGTTTAGTTGTCTAATCTCAGTGAAACACAAAAACATGTTCATCAGTTTCCCAGCAGTTCAACCAACAGTACAAAACTCAACTCTCCTGATGTTAAACTGAGAAAAGCAGCAAATCTTAGTTTCTTTTTAGTCAGTAAAACTTAAAAAAGATGTAGTTGTTTGCTTGACAAATGTTTTAAAGTAACAGAAATGACAAAAATCAACATTTAGAATTGTTACAGTTAGAAATATACATCAATAGTTATTGATTTCTTATCAAAAAAGTATTGTTTAGTCTTAGAAATAAAAAAATGCTCATCAGAGTTCACAGCTGATGCACTCAAACAGTTTGCGTTTGATAGCCCCAAACTCATGAATATTCAGTTTAAAAACAGAGAGAAGCAGCAAATCTTCACATTTGAGTACATTTAAGCAGAAATACGTCGAACGTTTTTGCTCAATAAATGTCTAAAAAGAAATATAGAAATTAGAAAAATTGCTATTTCTTATTATAAAATGTGATAAATATCTTATATTTATTATGTTTTTTACTCTGACTACTCAGTTATTTAATTTATTTTTTAGTAAAGGATGAAAAATGCTCATCAGAGTTCTATATGTTCTACAACAGTTAAAAACAGTTAAAACCAACAAATTTTCACATTCAAGAAGTTTTGAACAAAAACTTGTCTGACATATTTGCTTGACAAATGCTTTAAAGCAACACAGAAATAAGGAAAATCAAGATGTAGGCCTGGGCATTTGTTAAAAATGAAAAAATAATCAGAAAAATGGACAATTTTTCATCCCAAAATGTGTGTTTATTATTATTTCCTTAATTGCTCAGTTTTTTTGTATAAAAATGTCTGTAAAGCATGAAACATGCTCATCAATGATTCCCTGGTGATGGACTCAGACACTTTGCTTTGTCCAACAAACACCTCTACATGAAATAAAACAAAGAACAGCAACAAAAGCTTTAAATGGAAATATGTCTGCTATTTTTGCTTGGTAATAGTCTGCAATGATTAACTGATTTGTGACTATCTTACAAGGATCAATAAAGCACTGAAGTTAATGTCAAATCTTATCACAGTAGTTGAAGTTAACGCTGAACTGTGCTGCAAGATATTTTCTGCATACTTTATGACACAAACTTCCACTACAACTACCCCGCCACTGATGATGTGCTGTCATAAAACTGAGACATGGATTAATCATTATTTCTTGAGCAGCCTTTTGTTTGCATGTGCCTGGTAAATATTTAAGCCGTGGCCCGTGCCAGTTAATTGCAGAGTGTGTGTCTGTCTGTGTGTGGACGTGGAGGTAGGGGGGCGGGTGTGAGGCACGCTGCCTGCCAGCTGTCCGTGGACTGAAATCCCCTTCCCCTCCTTTAATAAGCGCTCTGAGAGATGCATTGTTCTCCCCAAAAAGCAGACATGATGGGGGCAGCCCTGCCATCTGCTGTTCTCCCCTCCACCACTAGCACCACCTTCATTCACATACATGCATGTGGATGGAGACTCCTGGATCAGCTGGCGGTGGGGGCTGGGCCGGGCACATGGTATTGAGTGCAGCCTTTTTTGTCTTCTTTTTTTTTTTTTGCATAAAAAGCATAATGTGGAGGTTTGGGGGGTAAACAAGTCTGCAGGTTGCTTTATCTCAAACGCTCACAGGCAAATGTGCTGATTTGCATGGCAGTTGAAGTCCAACAGTTGCTAAAGAATGCTAAACAAGTGATAACAATCAACGGCTTTTACCATTTCATGACTCACCTGGGTCGTATAGATAAGCGCAGGTTTATAACGCTTCGCAATGTGTGGCTGCTTTGTGAAGAATTTATATTTTATTAGATGGATAAGGTGGCTTTCCACTGCTGGAATTTGGGACAGGTGTAAATTGGTCTAAATGTTTACAGGAATGGCCCTGAAATTGGCAGAGTGGGATCAAGCAGCTTTGACCAAAACAACAACTAAGAAGAGTTATTGGACATAACTCTGGTTCTGTGGAGGTTTGTAGTGTTAGCTTATATGGCAAAGAAAAGACCCAAGGACATCGAAAGGACAGTAAAATGAAGCTTATTAAGAAAAAAAAGAAAAGAAGTAGAACTTATCCTTGTGTAAGTAATTTTTTCCTCCCATAAAAGGCGGCCTGCAGTCAGAACATACACAATGTCTGTTATCAGTACTTTCAAATTTAGGTTACATCCAGGAGGTGCTTAGCCTCGCACAGCACAAAGACTGGAAACAGGGGAAAAACTAGCCTGGCTCTCTACTAATGTAAAAACACAAATAAACAAAAAACAAATAAAAGATCTACTTACTGTTTTCTTTAATGTCCACTTTTTACACAGTTTACTGTAGTTTGTTTAATCTGTGCAAAAAAAATGGTTATAGAGAGGGTTATAATATTTATTAGCCGGGAGCAGTCACCGTCAGGAGTAGTGTTTCTGCTGGTGGGGTGAGGATTATACTTCTACATCCATGAATGCGTGAGAGTTCAAGTGCCAAAAAATGTTGTCCGTGAAAGTCCGAGCACATCCTCTCTACACATGCACCTACAGCATAACATTTGTGTCTGCATATGAAGTGCATACACAGAATATAGATATGGAAAAGTGGACTAGAAAGTAGTATAATAACAATTATAATCAAGTATAATCAAGGCTTAAAGCAGTCGACATCGCTGCTCCCAGCAAAGACGAAGTGCAGCACCACAGACTCTATATAATAAGTGGATGTAGCCTCCTGGTCTGAAAAGTGAAATTCACACCTAAGTGTGGAAACTTGCATTTTTCTGAGGGGGTGTCTCCTGTGGTTGCAAAAATAAGTCTTTCAGAAAATGACTTAAAGACCTCATACTTGATCTGTTGCCTTAGTAAACATTTTAATTTATAGTCTCAATCGTTAGTTTAAATTCAATTCAGTACCACTCAGTTTTATTTATATAGCGCCAATTCACAACACATGTCATCTCATAGCACTTTGCATATTTAAATGAAGACCTTACACATTTTAATCAAAGAACAGGGAACCCAACAATCCACAGTTGCCTTTGGATTCCCTGTGAGCAAGCAGTCAGGGACAGTAGAAAGGAACCAAAAAACCTCTTTAACGAGGAGGGGGGAAGAAAACCTCCAACAGAACCATGCTGGGTTGGGGTGAGAGTTAAAGTCTCCTTATATACAGCACGGTGTTCATTTAGTAAATTACGATCAACGTTACATGATGAAGAATGTTGTGCTTTAGGGTAGGGCAACTTTGTGTTTGACAGGTTGCTACCTTATTAGTGTGCAATTAGTCCTCACAGTCAGATCCAACCCTTGTTCATCACATGAAGTTTTATCAAACCAAGATGCTGACAGTAAAATTCCAAACTCTACGCTTTTCAAATGGCTGTCAATCATTTATATGCAGTCTCTGTCCACCCTCCTAAAACCATAAGCTTTTATTTTTACTGTTTGGTACAAAGCAAACTCGACAAAACATGAGAATTAGCTTAGCGTTTGAGCTAAGCCAGACAAGATGTTTCTAGTCTTTATGCTAAATTAAGCTAATCAGGAATTCAAATTTCATATTTAACATGGGAGCAGTAAGCTGTCAATCTTTTCATCTAATGCTCTGCACAAATGAAAATAAGAGTATGTCCCACTTGTTCACAGGTTTGACATAATGACAATAACTAGAATGAAATAAAAGCAAAGATAAATGGGTTGTATTCATCACACATCAGCCGAGCATTTAATAAGTTTAATGAACCTTGTGCAGCATTTCTCAGGAACTAATAATTTCCAGCCAAACAGGGAAGTTGCACAGACTCAAACACACATTTCTTTTTCTATTTTATAAATGATAAGGTCTGGTTAGTCAGGATAATCTGCGTCACTAAATTGGTCAGCGAATGTGAAACAGCTAATGTGAATCAGTGCTAAACCTTGCTGGGACAAGTTACCATCCAACGTCAGCATCATCAGATTCAAATACCTTCTTAAATGACTGTGTGATTCTATTCCATGGAAATTGAAATGTCTCACACACAAACATACATAATTTCCTTCAGGTCTGTCAAAACACTTTGCTCACTTTACCTGAGAAGTGAATTACAAGCAGTGTACTAAGACTTGGAAAGGGTGAATCAGACCACAACATCAGACAACATTATATTCGTCAGATGCTAATAGTCTATACCAAAACAAGCAAACTGAAATGAGCAGAAAGACACACGTTTTCTCTTAAAGTAAGAGTTGAATTACAAGACTATCTATGTGACTTATTAGCTTACTGCGGCATAAAGCTGTTTTCCCTCAGTTTCCAATCTTTTTCTTTTAAATGTAGCTCTTTTTTTTAAGCCATTTTATCTCCTTTAAAGA